GTTCCAAGATCAGGTTGGCTTATAGTATTTCATAATGACAACAGCAACCACCAAAACCCACATAGCAGATAAAATAATACATAGCAGATAAAATAATACTTTTCTGGTGCCAACACAAACTGGAGAGGGTTCAGTTCTGAATTTTCCAGTGAGGAAGACACAGAGGAGGTTGAGAAATGCAGGTGACTTGTTGACATTTGATGGCTGCCAGGATGGGAAGTGTCAGTTTTCTTTAAGGGTGTGACCCCTGGTAGATCAAACATGCTCTGGGGCAGGATTCACACCTGGGAGAATTTGAGCAACAGAAATTTGACATAATGGGCTAAAAAAAAAAAAAAGAAGAAGAAGAAGAACATAAAGTTGAGTGGTTAGTGAGACAGGGGTGGAGGGGTGGGTCTTGAAGTAGTTGGGGATATGCATCTGGTCAAAATATATTGTATGCAATTCTGAAATAAAAATATTATTTCACAAGTAAATGAGAGAAATGCAGGTGAGAAATTGACACTTGTGTCTCAAGAGCTTAGCACTGTCTCTGTAGTTCTGGCTATTTCTTGGTTCATTAGCCCACCAGGAAGATTTAGGCAAGGTCAAGATGATGGTTTTGGGAGAGAAATGCACTGAAATGCAGGTGAGGCTAATGTGGGAAGAGCTGTTGGTTTTACTTTATATTTATACTGAGTTTATATCTGTAGCTATTTGATTACATGATGGCAATGTGTAAAGGGGTGGTGTGAGGAGATTGTGAAATCACTTCTGTGACATGATAAAATGGATGTTTTTGTACTGGTTTTCACATGAGATACACCTTTCCTACTAGAAGATCGTTAGCCCGACAACATGAAACTGTTACAGCCCAGTCAAGTGCATTCTAGTGTCTCAGTCGCAGTTGTATTTTACCTCTCTATGATCTCCTGTTTCCTACATTCTCAGGCCAGGTTCTAGTACCTCTGTCAGCTCCCCTGAGGGTCCTTACTGGCACAGAAATTTCACATGACTCTGAAGAAGCTTTCAGGGGATTGTTTCCACTCCTTGTATTAGTGGATCTCATATTTGACATGAAAACAGAATTTATGTAATACTGTAAGCATTCTTCAGTTTCCAAAAAATTAATAGAGCTCCCCCTTTTTTCATAATGCTTTTTTAAAGGAGGAGTTTTTGAAAAGTGAGGAATGAAATGAGGTTAACAGAGGGATTTTGTTGTTTTGTTTTGTTTTTTGAGACAGGGTTTCTCTGTGTAGTTTTGGGGCCTGTCCTGGATCTTGCTCTGTAGACCAGGCTGGTCTTATGCTTACAGAGATCTTCCTGCCTCTGCCTCCTGAGTGCTGGGATTAAAAGCATGCGCCACCCCCCCCCCACCCCCAACCCCCCCCCCCCACCCCCGGTGGCCAGAGGGAATATTTTGAGGCATCATAACTATGGCACGAATTGAATGCAATTTTTTTTTTGAGACAGGGTTTGTCTATGTAGCCCTGGCTGTCCTGGAACTAGCTCCTAGACCAGGCTAGCCTTTCACTCACAAAGATCCACCTGCCTGTCTCCCAAGTGCTGGGATTAAAGGGTGTGCCACCACTGCCTGGCTGAATTTAACTCTTAAGAGAAAAGAAGGTTGTGGTGCCCACTCCTATGCCCAATGAGCTTGGTCTCCTGTGTTATGGAAAATAGGACTGACTGTCATATGAAGACTGAGCCTCATTAGACCTCCCAGTGTTCAATCCAGGGTTCACCAGTCACTTACGGTGCTGACTGATGGGATGTATTTCCAGATTCGGGGATGGAATATTCCAATGAGTTTTTACCAAAGTCTACGTGCTGGAAGCATACTATCTTTCCTTCACTAAGATACTATCAGTTCCTCTCTTTAGTTAACAAATGGCATTTATAGCTATTCTCATGTACACTATCCTCAAACTAAAGCTAAGACTTTTTTGTATTCCCCTCTTCCCCACGGTTCAAGGAATATTTGAGCATAATAAGCTGGCATTCTTTATTATTGCTGTGTATACTATTTTAGAAGCAATTTATGGGAGCCAGTTCTGTGGCCATTAGACAGAAATGAGGATGAGATGAATCCGCGTGCCGCTGCCCTGGTGTTCTAAGTACAACTAAAGAAGCCATGAGCCTGTGGACTTGTTTACTGAGCTAAAGCTCCGCATGACAAGAATGGCCCAGGTCTTCACAACATGTATCAGCACTGTTCCTTGAAAAGAAGACGTTTCTTGCTTTCCTGCCTCCCTCCCTCCCTCCCTCCCTCCCTCCCTCCCTCCCTCCCTCCCTGAGCATCTCACCCTGGTATCCTAATGCTGGTGACCATAGGAAGCATATCTTTCCTGTCATCCATTTTTGTTTCCCTGGTTTAAAGGAACATCTTTTTGTCCTTCCCTTTGGGTTTACCTCCCCTTTTAATCTACACACCGCCCTTAACTACTCCTTAAAAATCAATGTGGCAGATGAGATGTTTGATGGAAAAGTTGAGGGGAAATTGGCTGAGGTGCTGGGGGCAGTGTTAGGGTAAGGTCTCCTAGTTAGTTCCACTGAGCCCCTGAACAATATGAAGAGGAAGGCCACTCAGGAAGAAAGGGGTCAGAGAGGAGGCTTTGTGGGTAAAGGCACTTGCTGCCGGGCCTGCCTGACTACCCGAGTTTGATCCCTGGGACCCATGTGGTAGAAGAACCTGTGGTGGTAATAAATAAAGTTGCCTGGGGTCAGAGCTATTAGAGTCATAGCAAGTGCGTGGCAGTGGTGGCGTACGCCTTTAAGGACCTGGAGGGCGGTACATACAGGCAGTGACGAGGCAGTCACATGATTGGGTTTACAACCAATCAGAAGCCAGAACAAGGAGACTATGAGAGACAGACACACAGGAAGGAGGGCTCCTCTTTCGGAGAGCTCTCTTGGCTGAGGAGGATCTCTGAATCAGGAAGGGTGAGGCTCTTGGCTCTGACCTCTTGGCTTTCTTCTCTGAATCGGCTCTGTGTTTCTTGTTTAATAAGACCACTGAATTATATCTATAAGAACCAACTGCTGCAAATTATCCTCTGGTTCCAAGGTATTTATGACTTGACAGAAAGCTTGGGGAGGTCATTTTTCCTCTTCTAGAATGCCTTCATACTGATCCAGATCTTCAAGTTTAAGGGATGATTAAGGTCTTGACAACGTGTGTTACAGATGTCTTTCGAAAAGAAGACATTCCTTGTCTCCCTGTCTCCCTTCCTTCATCTCCCCTTCCAGCCCCATCTCTTCCCCTAACTGCCTCTCCCCCTTCCCCCTCTGTTCTTCCTCCCTTCCTCTCTCTTCCTTCTTTCATTTATTTTGGCTGTTTGAAACTTGATCTCTCTAAGTAGCCTAGGCTGACTTCAAACTCATTGTGTCGTCTAGTCTGACATTGAACTTGTAATAGTCACCCCAACACATATACACACCCTCTTGAGTGCTGAGATTGTTGACATAGAAAACCATAATTGTTTGAGAAACTATTTTCTAATGATCTTCCTTTTCCCAGAGCTGGACTTTGAATTAAGGGCCCTGTACATGCTGTATATATGCTCTTCTTCTGAGCTACAGCAAAGCCCTGAAAAGAAATTGTTTTCTAATATCCTTGGACTGTTTTGGTTTTGGGTACTATTACAACATGCCCTTAAATTTCATTCATGTACTCCATATTCACTCCATTTGGACTTTCCTGTCTGTTTGCTTTTGTTTTGCTTGAGTTCACCTCAAGTGAACTCACAAAGACCTGCCTCTGTCCCCCACCCACAGAATGCTGGAATTAAAGACCTCTGCCACAATGCCCCCCTCCAACAGGGCTTATTTCTGAAGGAAGGACAGACAGGTAGTCTCATTGGCTTCCTAAATTTAATCCTTATAGGGACAGCTCAGATGAGGGAGGTATTCTTCAGTATTTTCCTGCTCTGCTGATGGTGTTGGAGTAAATGTGGATGCTTGGGTAGCAGGTTGACTTAGCCAGGAGAAGCAAGATTATGGGTGGACCAACTCCCCATGGGAGTCTTATACCCTGGGCAGCAATGTTGTGGTAGCGCCCGCGCTACCGCCCCCCGTTCACCATGCCCAAGCGAGGGGCTGTGGATTAAAAAATAGAGACAAGAAACAGCGAGTCATTTGCCACAGCAGAATGCCGAATGCCCTTTATTGAAAGAGGGAGGAAACCTTAAATACAGGCTTACAGCACAATGGAGGAACCCCGGAGGGCAGAAGTTCGCTACCCAATGTTCTACATTCTTGCATCTAAGCTGTTTACACCAAATGCAGGATACACAAACAAAGACCCTCCAGTGATCGTTCAGTAAGAAGGAAACCGGCAGGGAATCAGCATAGGGAGGACATCTGGTCAAGGTTGGCAAGCAGGCAACAGTTTACTCAATATGGGAAGGACCCACACAGCAGAGTTGGCAGGTTGAACAAAGGCACAGTAATGACAGATCAGGTGTTGGGGTTAGTGAGAGTGAAAATAAACAAATAAATTTACCACACAATTATGGAAAAAGCCCCTGATGTTAGTAACTACATAGTGCTTCCCCAACTGTACAGGATAGTGAGGTAATCTGAGCCCTTGCTTAATGAGTAGACAATAAGAAGCTCATGCTTAATAATATTAATTTGCGAGCCTGGACTCTTTATAGGTTGGGTGGAGGCCCCAGCAAGTGAATAAAACCTCCAGGGAGAAAGGTGAGTAGGAGGAGGGCCTGTCATTTTTCTGGGCTGTTGCAAGGCTGATGTTGGTTAAACAGATTCTTCTTGAGCTGTGAGCAGCATCTGGCAGGATTGCGAGCAACAGCATAGTACATCTTCAGCAAATATGAGTATTGAGGACTTGGGCAAGTACAAAATTGTGGTGAATTTTAATATTGGGTTAAGGTAACAGATTGGTAAGTTTTAATATTGTATGCTAGTTGCTTTTGACACGTATGTATACAGATGCATGGCCGTGTAAAACTGTCTGTGAGGTATCAAGTTTCAGCTTATTGTTTTCTTCTTCATTCTAGAAAATTTCCGCTTTAAGTAGGGAGCAAAGCTGCAGTTGTAGCTGGTTCTTTTCCCTGTTACGTCAATTCTAAAGTGCTTGATCTATTGACACTAAGCAAGATGAATGTCTCAGAAGCAAGAACTGACCTCAAACACCTAAAGGTTAGTTTTCTATTTCTGGAGCAACTTTTAGTTTGATAATATGCTTCCTGTAGCCTACCACCTCCCTTTTTGAGATGAGTCTCATGTAGCTCAGGCTAGCCTTAAGACCACTGTATTGTGAGGCTAGCCTTGTACTCTTGATCCTACTGTCTCTCTCCCTTCCAAGTGCTGGGATTACAGATTCGTATTTGATTCTAGACTGGACTGTGTATTTGAGATGCCGTACAAATAATCTAATTTCTCTGAAAGTCAGTTCTGTTTTAGAAAACGGGTATAATAATAACAGTTTCTTGAAGTGGTAAGGGTTTTAGGAGATAATGTTGAGGAAGAGTGCTTGTCATGCTGGGGATATACCTCAGCTGATAGAATGAATGCTCACTTAACACGCATAAAGCCCTTTGGTGTACTCCTCAGCACCAGGGGGGAAAATGAGGAAAAATTTGGCTCAGAGTAAAAAGCTGTTCCGTTCACACTTATCTGCAGATCTTGTAACTGTGTAACGTGTATGTGCCTATCCATAAGTGGTTATCCATGTGGTTAAAGCCTAAAAAGCTATAAAAGGGCCAAGGAGAGTGTCCAAAGAGGAGCAAGCAGAGGGGCGAGGGCAAAAGGACACGGGTCACATGAACACAGAGAGAAGAGAAAGCTGCAAAGGAGAGCAGGGATGGGGAGAAGAGAAGCACAGTCTCCACTGAGACACCCTTGGTTGACAACGTCGTAATGATACCTAACGCTTCGCACGATGGCTGGAAATGGAGCGCCTGTCACACGGCAGAGCGCAATGAAAGCTGGTTATCTTGAGTGTGTCGGCCCTTTTTTTCTAGTCCCCGTCCTTGGCACTGGAGACATGGATGGCTGCACTGATGACCCTTGGAACCGCAGGTCTCTTCCTAGACTGCTTATGGGTTGTGCCCGACTGCAGCGAAGTAGAAAGTAGCATAGAGAATGTGATTTGCAGTTGTGTGGAGCTGACTTGTGGATGGCTGTTGTGATTTTAGGAGATGAGAAGGGAGACTGAACTCTGAATCTTTCTTTTACTCCAAGGATGATGTGATCACGTGTAGGCTTCCTGACAACTTCACATACACATCTACTGATGAAGGTGGTTCTCATGCTTCCTTCCCTTGTGAGATGTGAGAATGAGATGGAATAAATAACTCTTGTGAAGGAATAGAACAGTATGTGTTTAAAAGGTGCTAGCTTCTCTGCTCCCCCTTTCCTCTTATTCAAGTCTTTGGTAAATATGTAAGGCATACCAGAACCCCCCCCCTCCCCGGAAGAGCTGTAAGCAACCACTACCCCCATGTAGCTACTAAGTGAACGTTTGAAATGTGACATCTCATCTGAGGTGTGTTCCCAGTGTGAAATAACACTGCCTCATCCCCAAACCATTATTCCCACGGAATTTCTTCCTAAAACCAGAATAGTAGAACACTTTTGAGTCTGTGGAGAATTTTTCTATAGAAAGCCAGCGTTCAGTGAGTTCTGAGGTGGTTTTCAGTCTCTGGCTGGTGAGCATTTTTTTTTTTTAAATTTGCAGTGATGTTTTTATGAATGAGAATTTTGTTTTTAATTTGCTACTCTGTGGTCATATTTTACATAGTTGTTTAGAAATGTTGAATAAATGAAAACAAAAGAAAGGAATAAAAACTATTCTATGATAATATTTGAATATATTTGGTTACAAAAATGTTAAACTTAACTTCACAGTTCATAAAAGAAAGCCTTTACTTTTAAGAATGTGGCCGGGCGGTGGCGGCGCACGCCTTTAATCCCAGCACTCGGGAGGCAGAGCCAGGCGGATCTCTGTGAGTTCGAGGCCAGCCTGGTCTCCAAAGCGAGTTCCAGGAAAGGCGCAAAGCTACACAGAGAAACCCTGTCTCGAAAAACGAAAAAAAAAAAAAAAAAAAAAAAAGAATGTGGTGACTGGGGAATTTAATTTTTATTTTATTTATTTCGTGTGTGTGTGTGTGTGTGTGTGTGTGTGTGCACATGCACACCTTAATGTGCATGGTGCATGTGTGTAGCAGTCAGAGGACCTTCTCTTTCTACCATGTTAGTTCCTAGGATGGCTGTCAGGTGACGAGGCTTGGCTGCAAACGCCTGTACTCACTGAGCCATCTTGCTAGCTGGGTTACCGAGAAGTTAAGCTTGCATTTTGCTTCTGCTGGGGACTGTGGGTCTGGCTGCTGGGAATTCCGCGGTGAAAATAGGTGAGCTTAGCAGTCTTGCGGAGGAAGGTGGAAAAACAACAGAAGTTAAAGAAAAAAACATAAAATTCCGTATTATAATATATACTGTGAAAATAAGTTTCTATGGCTATTAAATAGAACAACATAATTTAAAACATCTCAGAAAGGAAAGCCTCTTGAGGCAGTCACACCAGTGCAGAGCCTTGAGAGAGCCTCTTCCCATGTGGAGTATCCAGGAAAGTGGAGACAGGCTGCCCGATACTGCCTACCAATTCACCCAGCACCAAACCCTTGGTCAACAGTGAGAAAACCTGCGGGACTGACAGACCCATGAAGGGTTCCTGACTCCTTGGCGTGTGTGTTCTGGTGAAGAAACAGGCAGGTGAGGCAAACACCTCGGAGAGCAGGGAGGGCCACTGACCTGCCGTGGCAGTGCACGTACCCTTTTCTTTTATCCCTCTTCAGAGCCATCAAAGGCCACAGCCTTGACCGCACAGGTTCCTAGGGCGGGGCTGTTCTTCCTTTAAGCTTGGTATTGAGTGTCACTCATGTTTGTCACTTTACTTTCTGTTCCCATCATGCTGTTCTGACTCAGACTGAGACACTAGCATTTGTAATAGCCTCCTGATTGCATCTTTGCCTGCAGGCTCTTTCTCCCTGCCGTGTGTTCTGGGCACCGCTGACAGGTTAATCTTGATGAAATGCCGTTTGGACCACATAGCTTCTCTGCTCTGAAGCTTTTCTTAACACCTTCCTGGCTGAGATCACCCATGGGGGGTGATTTACCGCTTTCGTTTTCTTCTTTTTGCCTTTTCTTTCACTAGTTTGTAGAGAAACACACCCTGCAGCCCAGATGTTCAGCACAGATGCAGAAGACTTTCAGTCCCAGCCTCTAGCCACTCTGGCTTATTTCTGCCTTTATCCTGCATTGCCCGGGCATGGTAGTCACCCTTGTTCCAGAAAGCTGACTGCTCTGTCTCTGTGGAATGTGTGAGAACGTATGAAAAAGAGTTTAGGCTCTGGAGTCGTCAGACCAGATTCAAGTCTCCACTCTGCTATTAAATGAGCCATGGGAACTTTCCTCAGAATTTACTGTTTCATCATCTCTGAATAGCAGGAGGCAAATAGAAATTTGTATCCTTTCAAGATGGACGGATAAGACATTGTACATAAAACATTTTGTAAGTACCTAGTCCACAGTTCTTAGTCCTTAACCTCTGTTTAAATAAGCATCAAACACCCTGTATATTGATTAATAGATGTGCATCCGGGGACCTGTGGCTTTCTTCTGCATCCCTAATCTCAGTTAGCCATTTTCTTAATTATTATTGGGCTGTGGCCCAATTTTTGAACAATGGGGCTATTGCCTGGAAATACTGGGTACAGACACTGAATAGTGGAGCTGGATGGAACTTCTAGATACCATTCTGTGTAGGATCTCTGAGTTCCCTTAGGGTGTGTGCTGTAGACACAGGGAGTGATCTGAAAATCTTGTAGCTCTTTGTGGGTCATCTATTTTTATTGTTCAGGTAGTTTTCTGATCCATCATTAAGTCATGGAACTGATTGCATATCACTTGCCCTTTGTCATTCTTAATTAAATGTCTATTGTTCATTAATTTATTCACTTGTCAGTGAAGTATAGTAAAAAGGGATTGAAGCTGAGGACATAGATTCATCTAGTTACATCTCAGCTCTTCTCATATTCCTATAGGTTCTCCATAGAGTTCAATCTTCACGGAGGCGGAAATGTTAAAATTGCATACAGGTTTCTTGTCTACACCCAAAAGTGTTGAAATGGGCATCGCCCCATGGAAATCTTCTTGTGGGTTGCCAGATAAAATATGGAATGAATCATGAAATTTGAATGTCAAATAATGTATAATGTATATGGACCACAATTACCCTAATTATTAATTGGTTACATGAAGCACAAAATGTCACCAGGTTTCCTATACTCTTATAGCTCTGTTGTTCCTCAGCTCACTCCAGCTTCAGGTAGTGACATAAATTCCTGTGCAGGTGTCACATTTATTCTGACACATATCAGAATTTTCCCAGGAGCCTGCCCTGAGACGATTCCTCCCAGGGTCCTGGGGAAGACACTATGGCTGGCATGGGGGTTTCTGAGGAAAAGGAATCTAAGTACACCAGGCTCTTTTGTCTGTTCACTTTATTTCTCTAAGACAAAATTCTATCTACACAGCTTCAGTTCCATTCTGACACTCAGTTCCTCTCTGTCCCTTCTTTTTCTGTCCTCTCATAGCTCTAGTAATAACTAAGCTCTTATGCTCTCGACCTCATCCTCATCCTCCATTCCTCTGTCCTCCGTCTTTCCTTCCTTTTCTCCTGATCTGACCCAATCCCTACTCATCCAAAAACTCTGCCCTGTACTCCCTTCTCCAACCACACAACTCAGCTCAGACCAGGAATCCTGCCCCAGCCTTCACTTGTACCTGGTTGTGCAAAAAACCCTTTTGTCCTGAGTCAACAGCTCTGGAATGTCACTAAGCCTGAAGGAAAGGTATGGTCTGAGCTTCATTTGCACAAGAAACAAAGCTATGTATCTACTATCTGCCTGTCTCCTAAGTCTAGGAGACAGGCATTGTCTCTGTAGGGGTGTTACCTAGTTCAGATCAGCAGTAGGTCTGAGAAGCTTATACTGTTTGCCATTATGACCTAGGAATTAAGGGCACACAAGAAACTGATAGTAGGAAACAGCTGATATATTAAAAGCCAAATAACATCAAATATTCCCTGATATTTGATTTTCTTCTTGAAGAATTCCTTGACTCTTCTGGGTTTAGCT